CTTAGCGGCTGCCACAGACAAAGTAAACAATGAAAACAGCTAAAGTTTTTATCATACTTCGGGGGCAGGTATATCAACATAATAAAGAAAATTTTATGACAACCGGACCCTCCGAATAATTCCCGTTATTTTCTGAACACACCTCGTACATAAACCTATATGTTGTAAGATTTCTGTGATAATGGAGCCTAAAAGAAATAATTTAAAAAAATATTGATTTTCTTTAACTTACTATAGAAGTTAACAAAGTTGTAAATTATTATTTATCTACAAATCTAAAAACAGTCCCCTCCCATTTAATTAATTTGGTAAGCATCTATACCTACGTTTTATCACAGAACATATGCGTTTTATAAAAAAAGCAGGACTGCAACTGAAATCAGAACGTAAGATCAGTGGGATTTTTTTTAATTTAGATATTTTAAAAATAACAAGTTAGTTTTATTTAACTAATTTTGGTAATTATTGGCAGAATTTAAACCAAAACCAAAGAGTTATAAATTTTAGATAGGTAAATAAAGCTTTAAAATAGTTAAATTAAAAACAATAAAATAACCAAATGGTGTAAATACATTTGCAGGTTAATTTAAATTGCTTATATAATTATATGATTATAATCAACAAGTAAAAGCATTCTAAAATTGCCATGTTGTTTGCTGTCAATTCTAACAAAAAGGAAATTTTACTAATTTGTTTTATTCCAAAAATAAGGTAATTTCAACAAACCAATAACAAAACATAATATTATTTTATGTTTTAAAGTATTTGAAATCAATTTAAAAAAAAATAAAGAAAAAATATATACCTACAATTTTATTTAATTTTTTTCCAATTTTTTTAAAATATGAAAGTATTATGTACTACTTCATTAGAAAAATGTCGTATTGTTTTTTCGCTTGAAATTCTTTAAAATAGGTATCAATTGATATATGTATATGGGGAATTCCAAGTGAATTCGACACGAAAAAAATCCTTGCCATTTTAAAATTCCTTGGCAATTTTTTCATGGATTCCCTGACTCCATTTTAATTTTAGCACGGTTCATCAATTGTTTTTGAAGATATGATTTTTTTTATTTTTAATCTTTAAGCGAATACAAGTTTTTATCTATATTAGATCGTGGCTATCAAAAAATTAATAATTTTTAAAAGATACAGGGTGATAAAGTATTACTTATCATATCAGTTTTTTTAATAAAACTTCTACTGTGGTAGACTTGGAAAGGTGATATTTTGCGAACAGTCACTTACTACCAAAACACATATTCACACATAATTACAATTGTTCGAGTGAACACAGCGTCGTAGAAACAGGGGTTGCTTAAGCTTATTGTCCCATACAAACTTTGAGGTTAGGTTTTTATACCATTTGATGCAATTTTTCGATTACTCAGTTTAACTACTATTAAAAAGGTGTACCTCTAAAATTTCGATAAAATAAACCGTTTCCGAGATATTCGAGATTTCAATAATTGTTACATCGCATTTAAGGACTAGAAGGTATATGATAACAAATTTTTTAATTGATAAAACTACAATTTTTTTAGTTTTTAGTTTTTTCAATACAAAATAAAAATTTTTATCATATACCTTTTAATCCTTTTAAATAATGCGATATAACAATTATTGTAATCTCGAATATCTCGGAAACGGTTTTTTATCGAAGTTTGAGAGGTACACCTTCTTAATGGTAGCCGAACTGTGTAATCTAAAAATTGCATCAAATGCTATAAAAACCTAACCTCAAAGTTTGTATCGGACAATAAGCTTAAAGCAACTCCCGTTTCTACGACACTGTGTTCACTCAAACAATTATAATTATGTGTGAATATGTGTTTTGGTAGTAAGTGACTGTTCGCAAAATATCACCTTTAGTAGACTACCATAGTAGAGGTTATATTAAAAAAAACTGATATGATAAGTAACACTTTATCACCATGTATCGTGGAAACATAAGTGATTAGGAAAAATATTTATTTGGGTTTTCGTCTTATTTTGAGTTGCTCAATCTTTTCCTAAATTTATGCCAATAAGTTTAGGGACACCTTGTATAGTAAAATATATTGATTAATTGATTTTCAATCTTAAAATAATTATTAATTTCGTAATGATAAATTTAAGTATATTCTAAGTATAAGTATGATAATTGTGGGGATAATAAAACTTTCTAGGCATACTTTTTACAATTAAGACACCGTCCCAACTTAAAAAATTGGCATCTATGTTTTTCTTAAAATATCTCTTGGATGCGCTTATCGAGTGAACCAAGTGTGTTAATATATAAAGTATACTATAGTTACTTCTTTGTATATTAACATAAACTTTGTTGGGCTTGTTTACTTGATATGCCCATCCAAGGAATATTTTAAGATAAAAACACAAGATGCCATTTTTTTCAGCTAGGCCTCAATTAATAAATTTATTTTTATTTGTGTACTAAAGATTTATATTCTTTCTCTTGCTTGAACGAACAACTTTGAATGCATCATACTTTTCAGAATTAGAGAATTGCTTGACATCAATTTCATCATGAAATTTTCATGTTCACTTATAGGAATGATGACGTGGATTTTGTGCGTAGCGGGAACAGGATAAGTGTTTTCAAGTCGAGTCACTAATTCATTTTAAACTTCGAAATACTGGCAGTATACTCTTTAATTTTTTTTAACAATTTTAATACACTCACAGGCAAAATAGTCGATCCACACAAATTTTCGATGAACTTCAATCGCAAATAACTTTTTTATTTGATTTCGGATTTAAACAAATATTAAGGATTATTGTAGATACATTAATGGAGAATCGCTCACATTTTAAAAATTACTAAAAAATACACGTACGTTTATAATATACAGGTTTAAACAAAGAGATGTTTTTTACCATAAGTTTAAAACACTGTAGATTGGCAAAACCGTATATTGTTCTAAATTAAGTTTTAATTATCAAGTCACATCTATTTTTAAAAGTTTTATTTTTGGTTCACCTTGATATATTTATTTTTGTGGAAAATATGGATTTTTTTTTTTAAAACCAATATTTTTCCTGTATGAAGGATCACAGTGACAGTTTTGTTGAATCTTCCCATACTTGGACATGTCATATACTTACATCTTTCAAAAGCTATCAAATTGTTTTTTGTAAATTAATGTGTTAATTTTGAGGTGTCTTCATACTTTTAAAAATGTCTTCGACTGATGTTGCCCTTTGTACTTTACTTCTTGTGACGTTTAAAACACTTAAGTGGCAATTGCCACGTAATACTGTGACCGTCCATCCTGGATTAAATTAATGGCTCTGACAACATCAGTCGGGGACATATCCATTTTTTAAAGTAAGAAGACACCTCAAAATTTAAACATTAATTTGCAAAAATCAATTTGATAGCTTTTGAAAGCCGTGTATGACATGTCCAAGTATGGGATGATTCAACAAAACTGTCACTGTAATTCTCCATTATAATAATGGATGGACCATAGCAACCTTAGTTCTTCATACAGAAAAATATTGGAAATTGCAATGTTTTTTTAAAAAATCCATATTTTTCATAAAAATAAATATATCGAGGTGAAGCAAAAACAAAATTATTAAGAATAGATGTGACTTGATAAGTAACACTTAATTTAGAACAATATATATATATATATATAATTTAGAACAATATACCGTATATACGGTTTTGCCACTCTACAGAGTATACTTATGGTAAAAAACATTTTTTTGTTTAAACCTGTATATTATAAACGTACGTCTATTTTTTAGTAATTTTTTAAAATGTGAGCGATTTTCCATTAATTTATCTACAATATTCTTTAATATTCGTTTAAATCCGACATCAAATAAACAAGTTATTTGCGATTGAAATTCATCGAAAATTTGTGTGGATCGATTATAATCGATCCACACAAATTTATTTTTGCCTGTGTGGATCGATTATTTTGCCTGTGAGTGTAGTTAAAAGGGCTAAATATAAAAAGATTGAATAAAAAAAATCATTTTTGATATTACAAAATGTCCGAAAATGGAAAAAATCAAAATTATTAAAATTTTAAGTTCCGAAAAATTATTAATTTTTTGATAGCCACGATCTAATAGTTCGTTCGTCGGAATCGCCCAATTGGAACCAAAGTTATGATCGATGATATATACATTTGATTTGATAAACAGTTCTAAAACTAAAATTGAATATTCATTTTGAGTCAGGGAACCCAAGAAAAAATTGCCGAGGAATTTCGAAATAGCAAGGGTTTTTTTCGTGTCAAATTCACGTTATTATTATATAAGTATTAATATTCAGGGTCATATCTAAACCTACATAACAATATTTGGTAAATTGTAATTATGTAGAGTTAAAATAATTATAGTTTAAATTAGAAATTAGTTAAAAAGGGTAAAATAAACTCAAAAGTACCAAATATTACCTTATTTTTAATCAAAAGGTACATTAACCAAGAAGTTTAATTTAAATAACATAACGTTAATTTTATCATAATTGAATTCCTCACTTATTACAAAATAACGTTAATTTAACGTTGTAGTACAATATTAATTAAATTAATTAACCAGGCATAATGTAAATTTAAGGTTAATTTAACCTACTTTACACTTTATTAGTAAGAAGTTGGCGAACTATTTTAATAAATATTTAAATAAATGCAGCTGGGTGTATCGCATTTATCTTTATTTTTCTGAATTTTAAAACTCCAAGCCACAAGCTTTTATTACTTTTTCGGCTGGCCAGGACAAAAGAAATATCGTCGTAAACTACTTAAATAATGTACTGTAAGTGTAGTTCCATTTATGTCCCCCATTTCTTATGTCACATTCTTTGTTTTAAATATGTAAATGCATTTACAAATAAAAACACCACATGTTACCTTTCACATCCTTTAATATATTATTTTTGCTATCTAAGCAGTAAATAAATATTATAACTTGTTTTAGATGCAGAATTCTTCAATGGGTGGCTATGCCTGAAACTTAATCACCACAAAGCTCTTCAAAATGAATGAAACTACAAGCGAGGAGGGATTCCACTCCTTCGGAATCTACGTTTTAGTCATCCAAATAGTTCTATTCTCCATAGTATGCCTAGTTGGGCTGGTGGGCAACACTCTGGTAATCTACGTGGTGATCAGATTCTCCAAAATGCAGACAGTGACGAACATGTACATCGTGAATCTAGCAATCGCCGACGAATGCTTCCTGATTGGTCTGCCGTTTTTAATCGTCACCATGATCAAGGAGCACTGGATATTCGGGCACATGGCCTGCAAGGCCTACATGATCAGCACGAGCATCAACCAATTCACCAGCAGCATCTTCCTTTGCATCATGTCTGCTGACCGATACATCGCCGTGTGTCACCCGATTTCTTCGCCAAGATGGCGGACTCCTTTCATCTCGAAAATTGTGTCGCTCTTGGCGTGGACAACGAGCATACTGCTGATCATACCGATCATACAGCACGCCAAAGAGCTGGACCAAGGCGGCCACAAATCTTGCGTGATCAGCTGGGGCAACCCCCAAAATTACTCCTACTTCAATAACTCGGAAGCCGATGGTATACCGCAAGAAACCATCTACAGCATGTACACCTTCATATGCAGCTTCGCGGTGCCGCTGAGTTTGATACTCGTTTTTTACTTCGAAGTCGTCAAGAAACTGAAGCACGTCGGACCGAAGAACAAGTCCAAGGAGAAGAAGAGATCGCACAGGAAAGTCACCAATTTGGTTTTGACTGTTGTCACAGTCTACGTCATTTTTTGGCTTCCGTATTGGATTATGCAGTTGGCCAGCAAGGGTGAAGATGTATCTACGTAAGTTTTTTTATTGAAATACAAATTTATCCAGTTCATATTTTTTTCTTCTTCAGATTTGCAATAACTCTTCATCTACTAGCGTCATGCCTGAGTTATTCAAACTCGGCTGTGAACCCAATCCTGTATGCTTTTCTGAGCGATAACTTCAAGAAAAGCTTTCTTAAAGCATGCACCTGCGCAGCGAAGGATGTCAATGCGCAGCTTCATTTAGAAAACAGCGTTTTCCCGCGTAAAACTAAGCACAACTCGGAAAGGTAATATCAGTAACTTTATTACGTAGATTTTAAAGTAAAAAAAAAATCAGTCCAGTAAATTTGTTTACATGTTCAAACCAGTAGTATTTTTCCGTATTAATGAAGAATTTGGGTATCTACATGTATGTACACTGTACATTATACAGTCAGTTTCAAAAGTCTTGCACCACCAAGTATAATATAAAAATTGAATACCAGTAGTATAAATATTGACATTTCTGAAGAATACCTATATAAGGGGACATCCATTAATTACATGAGATAAAAATAGTGGGGGATCTGGTTCAAATCAAATGGATGGCAACTTAATGTACAAAAAACTCAAAAACTCACATGTACCACTAGATTTATTAAAAAACAAAACGATAAAATTCTAGGCATAATCATGGGCAATAATAAACTTACCAGGTCTGTACATATTGAAGAACTATCGAAAAAACTGTCATCGGCTATCTATTGTGTAAGAAGAATACGAAGTATTGTTAATGAAGACCCCTGTTAAAAATCACCCATAGAGACCAATAGAAACCAATAAAAAATCAGAATGGAATGAATTGGTCTTATTGGTTTCTCAACAGAATGAGCATTGGTTTCTATTGGTAATTTCCGTACTGGAAAATGCCAATAGATTTCCTAATGGTCCCAATTGGTATTTTATCGGTGTGTAGGTACAAGGAACCCTATTGGTATATACCAATTTAATATTTATTTTCAAAATTCGCCAATAGGTGGGCAATAGGGTGGGCCGAAAATCCGCTTTTTTAGAATTTCGTTTAGTAATAGCAAAAATTTTGTTTATTATGTTGTAAACAAATTTTGTGTAAAAGATTAAATTTTTCGATCAACATCCTAGGCTCGCCCAACGCAATTAAAGATCAAAATGTTCAAAAAATGTTGATACTAAAATCGGGTTTATTTCTGAAACTATCCATCTGAAGTAATTTTGTGTAAGGACCTTTTTTGTAGAGCATAAAATTTCCGATCGAAATAAGTTAGGAAAATTTTTTTTTTAACATTTTGATCTTTAGTTGCGTTGCAACGCGTTGGGCGAGCCTAGGATGATGATCGAAAATTTTAATCTTTTACACAATTTTTTTTTACAACAAATTTCTGAAACTATCCATCTGAAGTAATTTTGTGTAGAGCATAAAATTTCCGATCAAAATAAGTTAAGAAAAATTTTTTTTTGAACATTTTGATCTTTAATTGCGTTGGGCGAGCCTAGGATGTTGATCGAAAATTTTAATCTTTACACATTTTTTTTTTTACAACATAATGAACAAAATTTTTGCTATTACTAAACGAAATTCTAAAAAAGCGGATTTTCGGCCCACCCTAGTGGGCAACCCATGCATACCTCTCGCCTCTGTAGCACAATACATAGGCCAGGCCTATTAGGCCTATAAAGGTGGAATGCCTTGAGCTGCTGAGTAAGGATTCCTTACTAAGGCTAAATTACTGGCCATGGAAACGCTTGGCGTTTTGGAATTTTTAAAGGGGCACAGATCGTCCTGTGGCCCACTCTGCGAAAAGTAAGCAGTGGGCCCCACTACTTACTTTTAGCAGAAGCTATTTATAAAATTTAAATTAAATGTTAAACAGCACTATTTTTGAGAAATTATTTAACCATCAAAACACGTAATTTTTTACCTTAAAGACGTCTAAAATGGATAGTGGGGACCAATTCAAACCAATAGCGGTACCTCTGGAAAATCCAAATAGCTCTATTGGGAATTACCAATAAAATATATCTATAATATATCTATTGGAAATTACCAATAAAATACGATTAGTCTCTATCGGTCTGTATTGGGATTTTCCAGCGGTGTCGCTATTGGTTTGAATTGGTAATTCATGGTACAGATACCACTATTGAGACCAATTCAAACCAATAGAGCTGCCGCTGGAAAATCCCAATAGCTTTTCTATTGGTCTTTATGGGTGATTTTTAACAGGGACGCGGCAGTAACTACTTATAACGCCCACTTTCATAGCAAAGCCTCCTATGGGATTTTAATATGGGGTGGATCTTCAGAAGCAATCAAAATATTCCTGCAACAAAAAAGGGCAATAAGAGCAATCGCCAAAGTAAGTCCCCAAACATCTTGTTGCCCACTTTTCAAAAAGTTTAAAATACTCATCATACCTGCTGTTTTTATAATTATCTGTCTTGTTTATGTAGACCTACAAAAATTTAAAAATCTTTGAGGATCACATTAACACTGGTCACAAAACAACCCAAGCAGCATTTTTGGTTCCAAAAACCATTACCAAAGTGGTGATAACTTTAAATTATTTAAGTATACTAAACAGCTACTTTAATTTTTACTTAAAAGTAATTCTAACTTTTAAATAGCAATGTTTTGTAACAAAAACTTAATTCTTTCCTTAAATGGTTACTATAAAGTAATAAACATTTAAGTAAAACTTGGTTGCCCCCAAGAAAACTTTGCAACTTTAAAAAAGGTGTTATAAGTAAAAAAAACTTTCAAGTATATTTAATTTGGTTGCTTATAGTTTGCTAAGTTATCCCTAGATGGTCAAAGGAATTTTGAGTTTTATTTACTCTGTTCTTTGGGATTCTTAGCAATTTGTTAAATCTTCCCAAGCAACAATTTAAGTATTTGTTACGTATATGGGACTATTGAAGAAACTTTAAAGTGTTTTGCGACAGTCGCCGGTCTCTTTATATTACTATGTTACGACTATAAAGTGGGGAACAATTATTGAGTTCCAAAAAGGTATCAAATATGTCACTAGCTATAAACCCTGCTACTATTTGGAACGTAGCTGCTACGTTACTAGAACGTTTCAATATCGTTGCTAGAGCTTTATAATTACTTTTATTTATTTGTTTTTACTCCTATATTAACTGTCTTTGTCAAACTTATATTAGATTATACTATCCCTCCTTTTTTAAATGTAGCCACTACGGACTTGGCTTTTCAATGTCAACGTTTATTAAATATGTACTGGTAGTTTATAATTTCCAGAATAAAAATATAATGTTTAATTAGGCAGGTAAATTTATAAACCCTTTAAATTTTACTGTTGAACTTATGAATTTTGTTTTTGTAAAATAAATGCGCTTCATCAATATTTAAGTATAAACAAATTATTTATTTAATAATGTTTATAAATAAAAAAATCTTAATATTTATTATTAATTTTTATTTAATTATTAATACCGTCTATTACCAACAAAATTACTATTTATTAAAAAGTAAACAAGCATTTACAAACAATTAAAATAATTTATTATTTAAATTACCACGTGGTACCGTACAGTAAAAAATGGCGATAAGAAGCATTTTCTTTGAAGTAGTTTTTTTCACCTTAATTTACTTTACGGTAGTTTTGGTTAGTACCATAAACGTTCCAAAAACTAAAATAAACTTTTAAGTTATTAACTTTGTAGTTTTTAACTCATGTTCCAGTTTCGAGATTTTAACTTGCAAAGGGACTACAAAGTAAAAATAATTATAATGTAATCTTTAGGTAGCAACCGAAAGTAACTGCTACAAATTAAATTTACTTGAAAGTTTTTTTTACTTATAACACCTTTTTTAAAGTTGCAAAGTCTTCTTGGGGGCAACCAAGTTTTACTTAAATGTTTATTACTTTATAGTAACCATTTAAGGAAAGAATGAAGTTTCTGTTACAAAATATTGCTATTTAAAAGATAGAATTACTTTTAAGTAAAAATTAAAGTTGCTGTTTAGTATAATTAACTAATTTAAAGTTATCACCACTTTGGTAATGGTTTTTGAAACCAAAAATGCTGCTTGGGACAATTTATTAAATTGTATTGTATGACGTGCCTTGTAAACCTTGAAGGTAAATAAACTTATTCTTATTTTTATCAAAATCTCAGCAAATCTCATGTTAAGGGAGGGGGGTCTTTTAAAATATCACGTCAACTTTTGGGTTCAAAGAAGTATTATAATTCAAATTCAAAAAAAAAGGGATCAATTTTTTTTTGGGTTTATCATGTTGTCCGCAATGAAAGTTTAATGGCTAGAATCTCACGTGAGGAATAGGGGGTGGTCTACCAAATCTCACCAAGGGGGTGGGAGGGGTCCAAATTATCAGAAAAATGCCTCACGTATTTAATGGATGTCCCCTAACCTTATAGACATGCCCAGACGTGTTCATGCATTGTTACAGTGCAGGGGTGGCAATATAAGGTACTAAAAAAATAAAGTGTTAAAAGTTCTTAGATTATTTGAACAAATATATTTACCTGTCTATAAAAAAAATTCGCATTGTTTCTTTTTGCCCCCTACCTTCTAATTGGGTAAGTATCAACAAAAAGAGGATAGTTTGTTACCATTAGATGCGCTAACTTATAGAAGGAATTACAAAGTGGTTCAAGACTTGAAACCGATTGTATTTAAATGTTGGATAGATACCAATTTTCTTTATCAGGATGACAGACCCTTTATTCTAAGGTACCATTAATTGGATAATTAAGTAATTCTTTTTCAAGGTTTAGACCGACCAGGGCCACCTCTCTTTGTCCCAATAATGATGAAGAGTGCGACGTTGGGCCATTGATGAATAAAGGAGACGCTTCCACTTCCATTACCATGACCAGTAGAACAAACAATGCCACTTGTTTAGGGGATAGCAGGGAACGATTGCAAAGGTATACCAATAAAAATGGGGTGGTGATTTCCCAACCAACCAGTCTATAATTTCGTTTTAGGTAGTTATTTATATAAAAAATTAATTTTGGTTTTATGGTTAAATGTTACAATATTGGAACAAAAAAAAACAGAATGTGTGGACCATTTATACAATATATTTAAAATTAATACAATGGAAAAATTATAAAACCAAAATTTTCGATATGATAGATATATGCCTGGATATTAAAAATCATAATAGCAACGAAACAAATTTAATCAAATAATAAAACCAAAATTGTTTAAATTTAAAATAGCGATTCGGGAATGTTATGTTACCTAAATGTTTATGCAATCAAAAGTTGTATTATTTATAAAAAAAATAAAGCATAGCAAATATGCAGGGTACATTTTTAGAATAGTTTTGTCAATATTAAAATGTATAGTATACGTTTACATGTGCTAGTATTATAATATATAGGTAAGCTTGTATCGTTGATGACTCTTCACTTCCCAGTGTAAATAAATTATATTTGGTTGTCGTATACAATGTTTCTCAAAAGATTTCATTCTTTGAGCCCATAAAATCTTTTGAAATCGTGTATTAGGTACCTTTTGATTTACTGACCAAAGCGAACGCTGTTTTATGTAAATTTAATATTGTGTAAGCATATCAATGTAATCTTTTTGTAAACTTTTATATAAGACAGCTTTCATATATACAGAGTATTTATGTAAAAACCAGCAATGCTCTATACGTGTGCACCTAATATAGATATCAGAAATTTCTCAAAACTGTTTTGAGACATTTTTGATATATTTTTTAGGTCCAAACTTATATAGCATTGCTCGTTCTTAAATAGACACCCTGTATAAAACAACTGCATGTGTACCTATAGGTTCTATTTACGTTAAGTCTGTGATATTAACTTAAAATAATTATGTACATAACACTTTATAAACTTTTGTTGCACCATATTTCTCAGATATATAGGTAGTTAAAATTTGAAAATTATTTACTAATTTTTGTATAAAATGTTTTATTTTTCGAGAGTTGTATAAATTATTTTAACAGGTAGAATAGTGTTCATCTGTATTTATGATGAATGTTGTTGAAATTGCGTATGTGTAACATAAATTCTCAAACGTTAATTCATTACGTTGAGAATAAAATGCCAAATATAGCCTATATTAAATAAATGTATTGTAATAACATCTTATGTAAATTAAATTATCTAAAAATTATTTGCATTTTATTTATTATGAAAAACGAAATATACAGGGTGTCATTAAATAAATTGTCATCCTTTAAGTTTTTCCTCTATTATTTTTAAATTAGTGCCATTTTTTTAATAAAATTGTTCCGATTTAGTTCAACTGACTTATTTATTTTAGTTAACTTGGTCAAATAAGCCATAATGATGAAGAAAGTGCTTTAGTGCTTTAGTGCATTTAAAACCCTTCTAAGTTTTATTTTTATGCACTAAACAAATTTTTAACATGACCGTCGCATACTTTTTTTTCATGTGATTTCACACATTTTTATTTGCTCAAAATTAAACAACATTAACGATAATGGCTATTTAAGACAATTTTATAACACAAAAAACCAACATTTGTTCAATATCATTTTCTTTGGCTACTTAAAAGTTGAATTAAATTTTTAGAAGATCGCAAATATTGGATTTTGCTCGAGGGACATACGACGGTCATGTGAAACAGGAGTTTTAAAACCAAAATTAAAAAATAAATTCATAGGATATTGAACTTTTGCTATTATAAATCGATAACATATTTTTTATCCTATCTAGTGAAATGTAAAAAAATTATGGCTAATATAAAGGTTTTAGTTTTAATACTCCAGGGTCATGGTATCTTCAAAGTTACTGAAAACCACCCATATACTCATCCAGATTTTCAAAACGTCGCGTTTTACCATCAAATTTTATTTTATTTATTGGCGTAGTCGAATAAATAATAAATATAAAGGTTTTAGTTTTAATACTCCAGGGTCATGGTATCTTCAAAGTTACTGAAAACCACCCATATACTCATCCAGATTTTCAAAACGTCGCGTTTTACCATCAAATTTTATTTTATTTATTGGCGTAGTCGAATAAATAATAAAAAATATATTTAAAAGCGATGTTTTTATTAAAATAAAAATATACCTACATATTTACAAAACATTACGTGTTTCCAGCATCAATAGCATAACATCTACAACTACAACCAGTCACTGGACAATCTTGGTGTTCCCTGTAATAAAAAATAATGTAAAATAGATATTTAAATGCACTGGGCTGTTTTTTGGTATTATTGAATCCAATTTCAACCAAAAAAACAAACTATAAAAATTTAATTACTTAAACCACTGCAGCATGTGCTCGGCATGTCCGCCATGCCTGCAGGTTTGGCACCAAGTGAACCAGCTGTCAAAATCAACCATTTTGGATTTTTCAATTTCCCCGGTTGTGGTTCCCATGTACATCAGACAAATCGCGCATCTTGGCAACGGTTTTCGACAATTAGGACACGAGGAAATCTTCACTGTGTTTCCGGTTGTGCTCCCCAATCTAAAAGGCGTTCGACCCCTATTCAGGCCGTGCAAATAGGCCGAAATACTTTTACCGCAGAAATTACAAGACACGAACACTTGTTGAGGCGGTTTTTCTTGCGGTCTGAAAAGAGCCAGTTTTATATCGAATTGCGCTCTTTCGTGCCACAACTTCCAGGTGTCCAACAAATTTCTATAACTGTAAAAAATTTATTATTACCAAACTGTTCCCCTTAAAATGATTTTTAAGCACCTTTCGATCCACAACTTAACAGTTTCATTTCCCAGTTCTGTATAAAAAGCTCGCATAGCTATAAGAGCTGTTGATTGAATATCAGCTGTAGTGTCAAGATATTTTTGTAGAAGAATTAAACCCTCCGTATCGTTACCTATAAGAAAAATACCCCAATATAGAACCTTAGGGAATCTAGTGGGTGGCACTCACCTGTTAGCAAAAGACCATCCAAGTTCCCTTCTTCAGTCAGTTTCTCAGTTGTGGATTGTAAGTACTCCAGTAATTTATTATCTGGCAAGAACATGCAAGCAAACGCCACTCTATCGCCTACTGACATACCTCTTTCATTCTAAAAAAACACGTTTTATTATTGTGTTTTTTGTCATCTTTTGAACATACCAAAATATCGTCATAATTATTGTTCTCGTCAGTCAAAAAAGCAAACATCGCTTTCAAATAGGGATCGGTTATTTTACTTCTGGAATTAGTACAAAACTGCTTCCAAACGCTACTCTTATCATCCGAAAATCCAGCCAACGCCATCGCTACTATGTTGAGGCTGGAGGAATATTCGGAAGCGTCTGGAACCCTGGTGAGCAATTCTATTGCCGCCTTTATTTTAAGGTTAAAAACCGATATGGCTGCGGCTCTCGTGAACTCGTTCTCCTTCTCCAGACTTTTAAGGTACTCCGGAAGGAAATCTACCGGCCATCCGCAAAGCCGAATTGCTTGTTCCCTATCTTCATGTCTAAAAAGTTACATTTCTTCACCGATTTTCTCCAGTGGGTATTCTAGATTGTATTTTCACCAAGTGTGTGCAAAATTCCAGCTCAATCGGTTGCGTGGAAGTAGATTTGTAATATAAAGTGCGTAAGTAAACTGACCCAGCAAGTTTGATTATGTAATGGCCCTTTACATAGTTTCATGGCTTAATAATGTCATTTTTAACCATACTGGGTCTTTACAGGAATGTTTTAATAAAAATAATAATTTTGATAAAAGGCTGCAATGGCCATTTTCAGACTAATATTTGTATATTTTACCATACAAGACTTATATATGGCAATTTTCAGTATCAAGTTAATGGGACATTAAAAAACCATTAAAGTGACAAATGTTTTCTGTATATAAAACTTACTAAACCTTTAATTACCCTTATATTACCTATATTTTAAAAATGACGCTCAGTGTAATTCCTATATTTTTAATAGTGTGTTAAACCACATACAAAAATAATAATAATACCTAATGGTTGTTAAATTTAATTTGTCCCGACCGTCAGAAATTGTATTGTGACGGTAGGGATAACAATTTCTCATTATCGTGGAATATTCTTATCTAACAAATATATACCTACCACATTTAATCCACCATAACCTCTATAGAATCCCATATCAGATACTGCCACATTTGTACCCTTAACCTGCCATATCAACCCTTTAGCGGAATGGTTCTTGTAAGTGCCTTTATTGACTGCCGTTACTATGGCACGCCGCACTGTGTCGTATTTGACCTGTATAGGTGACCAAAAGTCGATTTCTGAAGTTGCCCTTACAGCAAAAAAATATACATAAAATTGATCATTATGCTTTTCTTGACAATGTACAACCATTTGTTTATTTATAAAATATTAATAAGGACCGTGACGTATAAAATTTTAAAACAATGCACAAACACATTTTTTTATATAAATAACTCGCGCTTGGTAAATATGCGATTAAAACTATAAATTATAATTAACAGAAGTTATATTTGGTAGATTGCTTTAAAATAAATGTCTTTTAAGGTATAACTAGAGATGGGAAAATTCCCATTTGACGAAAATTCCCGGAAACTTTCCATCGAAAATTCCCGAAATTTTCCGAAAGTTTCAAAAAAAAAATTTTTTATTGCGAAAATATTTTTTTTTTATGCCAGGGATTTGCAAAAATATATACCACATTAACTTTTTGTCGAATTTTATTAAGAAAAAAATATTTATAAGAATGTAACTGCAATACTAATTTTAGTATTTTTATATTGTATTGTATTGTATACTGAAACCTACAAAATAAAAATAAAATGTTTACTATTAGAAATTCACTGCTAATAAATCCTAGATATTACAAAAAAAATTAAAATGGACAAAGTAACTAATATATAGGAATATTGAAAAGTAAAAGATACTAAAAATAGTATTGCAGTTCTGACTGATAAAATTTTTGTTTTTTTGCACTATTTTGTAATAATTCCAAACACTAGATTTTTCTCTTGGCATTGTGCTATGCCTATAAATAAACAACAAAATGTAAGAATGATTTTAACTTTGTTTATTGTTTTTATTTTCTTTGCCTTTTTAAAAAAAAGTTTTTTGTGATGATGCTGAATAATCCGGCTTCATTGAGGTTATGTAACATAACTTACATTATTTATACTTCTGCTTTAAATTAACACACATTAAATTCTTATTCAAAGTTTCTTGGCCTTGTATCATGGCCTTAACGAAAATCAGCGGTTAAACAATTGACATTTAAATGAAAAAAACAAGGAAAGTTTCCAAGGAATGTTTCCAAGGAATGTTTCCGGTAGCTTAAAAGAAACTTTCAAAATGAAAATAAATTCCCAATTGGAAACTTTCCAAAACGGAAAGTTTCCTTAAAATGGAAACTTTCCGATTCCCATCTCTAGGTATAACGTTAAAAATTAAAAAAATATTTTATTTTATGTATAGTAATAGCCGTCCAAATTTTGTCATTTTTTTAACGTGCATTTAACCAAACTTTTTGCAAATAGTAATGGTGCCCCAGGTTGCCCCAATTTCTTTTGTGTGTGGAAGTGTTTGTTAATATATGAATAATGGTCATTATTAAGGATTTTGACGGGAAATGTTGAGAAACTTGGCTACACTTGATTTTATGTCAAAAAATGTGTATTAGAGCTGATTTTTTTAAACTTTTGTCTTTATTTTCCGAGTTTTTTTTAAATCTGGTGTCTTAAAATTAATTAAAAACATAAAAATAATAAATATATATTAATTTAAAACTAATTTTTATAGCCAATTGGCTATAAAAATAACTTCTTAACTTTCTTGCTAACAACATCCATTTCAAATACCCAAATTTAGCAATCTAACGGATTTGAGAAAAATGAATGGCAGATGAGGTATCTAAACAGAAAACTTTAAAAGGATAAGAGTACAAGTGCGGAATCTCTTTTAGCTTTGCAAAAGGCCATTAAAAACATAAAAAGTATGTAGAATAAAAAGTTAAAATCGAAAATAATAAAATTGGTATCGTCCCAGAAAAAATTGAACACCCTGTATAAATTAAATTACAACATTAAAAAATATGTATTAATTCAAATATTTTTGTTCCCTACAAATTTTTCATGACTACAGTTGTTTCTGAGATAGGCATATGGGTTATCTTACGTGGTTCACCCTGTACTTAGCTTCTTTTAATTCTAACTAATGGTTAAATTTATTAAAAATTATCTTTTTGTATAACAAAAAAGCATTTTTAATATGTTTTTCAACAAAAATGTTTTTGGTCACCTAATCACTCTGTTTACGACATAGTGCGCCGTTTTAACATTTATTAAATAATATTTTATTTTAAAATTTTATTGGTTTAAAATTTTAAAAAATTTTAAGAATTTTAGGTTTACATTTAAAATTTAAAATATTTTCAACTATCATGTATTGAAAGACAAAATTTACAGTTCACTTCTGTATTAAACCATTGAGTAAGATTCCTTAGTCAATGGTTAGCCTTTATAGGGCCCTTAGTTCGTTAAAACCACGTTTATGAAGGGCCATTATATAGCCTTTAGAGGAAAGTCGAGTAATTTCAAGTAGGCGCGTAATTTTGGATAGTGGTGTATGTTTGAAACTAATCAAATCATTAAACGCAAATTGACTTTAATGCAATCTAAAAAGTTCAAACAAGCATATCCAGTGTTATTTAGATGATACTAATCACTCTCCATTAGATGGCAGCGGTAAACATCGGAACCACGTTTTGTAGTTTTTTGTTGTCATAGTTTAAGCCGTGTTTTTTTTATAAATATTGGTTGGAAAAATTTGTATTTTTTACCTGGACAAGGTAAATGTTTGTTTAAGAGAAAACTACGAAATTTTTTCAATAATTTAAAAAAACTTAACGCAAAAAGTATAAAGTTGCCTAATTTCTGATGGTTGACGTTTCTCAATTCCCCCTATCCAAAATTAGGAATCCAAAATTAAACAAATTCCAACATTTAGAGTCGTCTAAGGAATATAATGTTTATATATGTGACTTATGCATGGACTAATAAATATGTTGTTACTAAAAAAAAATTAATTTCGGATAGGGTGTCCGAAATTGGGAGCCCAATTTTAAATTTGTAAAATTTGCAATTACTACAAAAACCTCATTTTTTGTAAACATTTTTTGTAATAAAAATGTTTTGATATTAAAATTTGTTTCTTTGCAATGCATTGATACTAGCCAATAGATAAAGCATTAAAAAAAAAAGGTATCTGAAATTAGGCGACTTTCCTCTACGGTTGTGTTTGCTGGGGAAAGTGTGCAAAATGATATTAAAACTACTTACTTGTAGTATTTGGCGGAACCTTTACAATTGGGATTGCCCAAATCTATCCAACTCTCAATAACCGTTTCGGATTTATTATTTTCTGGGTCAATTTTAAGGATGGTTTGCACTCCAGGGTGTTTAATATTTGTGCGCCTTATAGCGCCATCTTCCGCCAACTTGTTGCTCAAATGCAACCAATTCCACACGCTCGCCAACATATCGTTATTGTCTATCGCCAAATCGTTTTTATCGAGTTGATCCTACATTGGAGAAAATTAGCAAATGTAATTTTAAAAAAATGCTTTTGTAACCTCTAGTCCGTAGTTATTTTTAGCTCTCTGGCGAATTTTATAAGAAATATCGTCAATTTCAAACTCTTTTACGTATTTTAAAGCTTTTCTACCATACGTCCACATAACATTAGATATGGGCGACCAGTTAAGTGTTATTCGGTCATAAACGGTGTAATCAGAAATCACACCTACAATTTTTTATTATATTAAAATCTACAACATTACAATCATCTTACCATTGGATGCAATAGATAGAAATCTATTTTCGTCAGTAGGGTGCCATGAAATTGACGCAATGTTATGATAACTGCCAGGAGTTACAACCCTCTCCAAAATAACAGGTTCCACATCCTCATTGGAAACAGTGGTTTGTTGTATATCATACAAATTGACAACAGAGCTCTCTTTCTGAACTGAGGCAACCATGTTTATCCTTCAATACAAAAACAATTAAATATAATAATAATGAAGTGGTGTTTTTTTACTTTGTTGGACACCAAGCTATTTTTACTATGGGTTTTAGAGGTGTTATAACCAGGACAGGTTTTTCGAAATTTCTGGTGTCCCAAACCGAAATTTGGTTATCGAAAAATGAGGCTATTTGCCTGTCATCCCTAGGATTTAAACAAACGCCATACACCGCCTTGGTGGGGGTGGATACCACGTTTTTGGAGTGATCTGGAAAACAATAGATTTGAAAAATAATAATTAAGGTGGATTTAGCCTGCATTTAATATAATGTAATGTAACGTAAGGTAATTTATGTATTTAATATTTAATAAATATTCAATGATTTCGAATAGTTAAATATTTAGTGTTTTTTTGTTTCTTTAGTTTTTTTTAATTAAAATAATATTACGTTGTTGATTGCCACTTATTTTCAAATGTTTATAAAATCACAAAAGAAAACAGGTTTATCCCAATTTTTCCGGTTTTTTACGACCCTTTAAAACCCTAGTTTTTTAGCCAAATCGCTCGACAAGTTTCTTTTTTAATAAAATAAAATGTAAGGTAAAATTACTACTTTTTATATATCTGAGGTAAGTAGAAATTTCACCACTTTTAATTTTATTACCTATATTTTAAGGAAAAAAATATTAACCGTTTAATAATTAACAATAATTGTAATGGGGATCTTGTTACTAAAAAATCTCATAATAGAAAAAATATGAAGTTTGCTTAATACAGCAAAACATTCTTTAGATTATTTACTATTTTAGCTATCATTTAAAAGAAAATTAAAAATTATTTTGTTTGATATATAACACGGTATATTTTTGTCGAAAACAAACGAAATATGGCTAAAAATGACAATTTGTAAGTCCAGGAGCTACTAAATGGATTTTGTTTTGTTATGTATATTTTGTTGTTTTTTAAGAAAAATTTAGGTTGTGATATATCATTTTAAAAAGAATTTAACAAAGTAGAACCTAAAAATATATATCTTTTAAATTACTTTTTAAAAAAGAATTTTTTAGCACAACTAATTTATTTAAACGCAGTCAAGATGGCATACTTAATTTAAAAAAAAAGTTTTCAAGATTTAAGCCAAATTTTAGGAATTTTATAAGTTTTAGGTGTGGGAGCCCTGATTATATTAAACGCTGGCTAAATCCACCTTAAATCATTTTATGACCCTTACAATAATAATAATAACTTTCAAACACTTAAAAACGAAATATTTTATTTGGTAGGTAATTTTTTTAACATTTTGCCTTTTACCTCTTATGTCATATATCCTCAAATGCTTCAAATTCATCCCACAAGCAATTAACTTGCTATTAGTTCTGAACCAAGACAAACTGTGCGCGAATTCTGCGTTGCCAAATTCGGCAACCGGTCGTACATAATCGCTGGATACAGGATGAAATGCAATTTTTGAGGAGTTTGGTTCATGAGCTAGCTTTGAAATATCCCAGATCAGTACAGAATTGTCTTGTCTATGTTTATCCAGCCCTGCTGCTATCAAGTTGGGCTCATTGGGGTTAAAGGACACTACATTACATTGCCTGCCATGTCTAGGAACTAAAAATAATATTAATAAGGGTCCCATGTTGGAACCTTGGGGCACATCAAACACTACCTAATTCTTTGCCGGGGTATCCGTATAAATCGTATTCCGAAGGCCCAAAAGTGGACAGCAATACTTTACCATTGGAAATGCCTATTGCCATTAACACATCGGAATGGGGTTTCGGGTAAATATCAATACTTTTAACATATAGGTGGTTAGGGTTTGTCGCAATAATATGCGCGCATGATTTATTCGATATCTTAGTTACCCCAGAAACTACAATAATATTTATTTGTTTAAAACAATAACAATAAAAAAACAACACCAACCTTGTGTGTAAGAATCTCTTAGGGGTTGAACCTCGTACAGGGTGACATCTGACCCCCACGTTATAAACCTGTTCGGTATCGGAGACCACTGTATTTCCAGTTTTCCAGACATGTTTACATGCCTAAAATATCACAAGTTATTTAAAAACTTTGTAAACAAACTTGTAGGTTATGTTTTGTTATCGATTGTCAAGTGTTTAATTTCGTAATCCCATGTAAAAACAATTGAACAAGTGGCATACTTACGATGGAAGATCTCTGATGTTTCCAAACGATGCAACTCTGGAGATTTTTTTAAATTCTCCTTCGAGATCCATATTTAAGAAGTGACATTTAACAACCGTGTGCTAACCTTAAAGTGTGTTTTGTTTTATACAATAATTGGGTAAACCACCAAAGCAACATGTATACATTACCTATAGGTTATAAACTTTAGTTATAACTTAGTGCCAGTGATATTACAAAATCATAAACAATTTAAGTACATACACAGAGTGTGTAGTTTTAATAATAAATTAAAATGGGTACTTTTTATGTTCAACAAGAGGGGCCTCTAAGCGCTTTAGCTTTAAATAGGGACAATACACAGGTTGCTGTAGGAGGCAGAAACGGTAATTTTTAATTAAACAACAAAACGAACATACCCACCAACTTGTTTTTGTTTAGTTTTTAAGGTGTATAATATCGAAGACAATAAATTCAAAGAAATAATCAACTTGAGAGCCTCAAAACATCTGAATCAAGGCTTTTCATGCAATGACATATCTTGGAGTGCCCTGGATGGTAAAAAACAATTGCATGTTATTTTTTTAATAGATACCTAACTTTATTTTCTTTAAGACCAATATTTGGCCACTGCGGCAACAAATGGACATGTTTGTGTATGGAATCTCATGAAAAGCGGGAAAGCCATGCAAGAACAAGACTACCAAGATCACAGACGTACTGTGAACAAGGTTAATTTTCATGCCACAGAACCATTTAAACTGATATCTGGTTCGCAGGATGGCACAATGAGATATTTTGACATTAGAGTTAACAGTGCTGTGTCTGTTTTTATCAGGTACTTACTTAACTTAATTTGATTAAATTCTTGATTTAACAATTAATTTTTTTTACAGTAATACTGAGAGTGTTAGAGACGTGCAATTCAGTCCACACAACCCTTTTGCGTTTGCTGCTGTGTCCGACAATGGCAGTGTACAGTTATGGGATATCAGAAAACCCGACAGGTTGCAACAGCAATTTACTGCCCACAGTGGACCAGTATTTGCTTGTGACTGGCATCCAGAGGCATCTTGGCTTGCTACTGCCAGTAGAGACAGAACTATAAAAGTAAGTACCTACCTAATAATATTTATAACAGAAAAGGGTGATTACTTTTTGGAAAACCTAAGTTTTGTTGAATTTTTACCCAAGCAATTTTACTTAAAACCGTAAAATATTTAGAGGGCATATAATTTTTAAGACGAATATTTTTATTAATAAAATAATGTGAGTTTAAGATTTAATGCAAAATATTATTATTATGATATTATTAGTTTTTTAAATTTTACTCTAGGGTGGCCTTTATTACTTTATAAGTACCATTTTCGTAATGAATGTCAATGTTTTAGAAAGAGAAAGCTAACAGTTAGTAATTAGGTATAGCGTTATTTTTACGCAAATTTGTGGTATTTATATTGTTTTTATTACGATATTCTCTTAGTAGATCAAAAACGTTATTATGTAGGTAAAATAACGAAATAAACCATTCCCCAAATTTGGTAATTTTTCGTATATACCGTTATAAAACCGTTTTGGTTAACCGGAAAATACTTTAAAGTTGACTTAGTAAATTTGTGGTTATTTAAACTTAAAATGCTGCTTGGGTTATTTATTTATTTATTATTTGTCGCTGACGAGGTTTTGACATTTGTCACTTACGAGGTTTTAACATTTGTCAATTACTAGGTTTCGGCATTCATCGCTTACAAGGTTTTACGATTTGTCACTTACGAGGTTTTGGCATTTGTCGCTTACGAGGTTTTGTTACAATAAATAATGCAAAGGGTAGAAAATATCTTTTTGCAATTTTCAGAACTAATGCCATTAGTCACGAGGTTTTGACATTTGTCATTTACGAGGTTTTGCTATTTGTCACTTATCTACAAGATTTGGACATTTTTCACTTACATTTTTCAATGACGAGGTTTTTGGCATTTGTTGCTAACAAGGTTTTGACATTTGTCACTTACGAGGTTTAGGCATTTGTTGCTTACGAGATTTGGACATTTTTCAGATATGAGGTTTTAGCATTTGTCTCTTACGAGGTTTTACGATTTCTCACTCACGAGGTTTTGGCATTTGTCACTTTCAAGTTTTTGCATTTGTCATTTACGAGGTTTAGGCATTTGTCGCTTATCTGCGATGTTTTACGATTTGTCACATACAAGGTTTTAACATTTGTCACTTACGAGGTTCAGGCATTTGTTGCTTACGCGATTTGGACATTTTTCACATACGAGGTTTTAGCATTTGTCTCTTACGAGGTTTTACGATTTCTCACTCACGAGGTTTTGGCACTTGTCACTTTTAAGTTTTTGCATTGTCAGTTAAGAGATTTTGTCGCTAACAAGGTTTTGACATTTGTCACTTACGAGGTTTTAACATTTGTCACTTACGAGGTTTCGGCATTCGTCGCTTACAATGTTTAAGATTTATCACTTACGAGGTTTTGGCATTTGCCACTTTCAAGGTTTTGCCATTGTCAGTTTGGAAATTTTTCAGTTATGACGTTTTGGCATTTGTCGCTTACGAGGTCTTGTCATTTGTCACTTACGACTTTTTGACAACAAACGAGATTTGTACATTTTTCACTTCCGAGGTTTTGGCAATTGTCGCTTACGAGGTTTTGTTACGATAAATAATGCAAAGGTAGAAAAGATCTTCTTGCAATTTTCAGAACTAAAACAATTTAGTACATTTTTTAGAAAGTTGTTGGTGCATCTATAAAAATGACTGGCAACCCTGTACAGGGTGATCCCCTATAATGTCGCCCCCGTTTAACTTTTTTATTTTAAGTGTCCCAAAAAATTTAAAAGTGTGGTTATGTAGGTACTAAAAAATACTTTTTTTACACGTATTAAAAAAATTGCAAATTGATCAATATACAGGGAAAAACAAAAAGTTTATATTTTTTCAATGGATCACCCTATATATGAATTTATTTTTCGATTCCTTGTAAAATTCTGAGCATAATTCATATAACAAACCATATACCTAAATTCAACCGTTTCTGAAATATTCGCATTCGAAATGTTATCATTAAATGTTTTTTTAAATTGTTAGAAATCAAGAAGCCTCAGTATCCCAAAAATTTTATTGAAAATAAATTACTATAGACTATAGTCTATAGTTACATTATGTCAATATGTCTTGTTAAATAAGTAAAAATGGCGTACACAGACAGAGAAAGACATATACTATAGACTATAGTCTATAGTTACATTATGTCAATATGTCTTGTTAAATAAGTAAAAATGGCGTACACAGACAGAGAAAGACAAACTATTTGAACTTATTATCTTAAAAATAATTTAAATTTTTCAGAACCAGTTGAATTTAGGTATATGGTATGTTATATGAAATATGCTTAGAATTTTACAAGGAATCAAAAAATAAATACATATATAGGGTGATCCATTGAAAAAAAGTAAACTTTTTGTTTTTTCCTGTATACTGATAAATTTTCCAATTTTCTTTATACGTAGAAAAATGTATTTTTTAGTACCTACATAACCACACTTTTAAATTTTTTGGGACACTTAAAATAAAAAAGTTAAAGGGGGCGACATTATAGGGGATCACCCTGTACATATTAAAACTCTATATTTTGTAGGTATAAATCCGAAAATTCTAAATTTAATAATTTTTTAAATAAGAAATTTTTAATACATATTGTTCTAGTACTAAATTTTTTTAACTCCTGTCCAGGCATTTTGACTAAAACCGGTATATTAAAATTGAAACCTTTTAAGGTTTGGGATTTGCAAACAAACAAACCAACATTAGAATACACGATACACACAATAGCTTCAATAGGTCACGTAAAGTGGCGCCCTCAAAGGAAATTCCACATAGCCAGTTGCGCTCTCGTGGTGGACTGCAGTATTAATATCTGGGACGTTAGGAGGCCATACATCCCATTGGCGACGTTCAACGAGCACAGAGATATTGCAAGTAGAGTGGCTTGGAAAGGAGAACCACATTGCTTTTTGAGCAGTTCTAGGGTGAGTTTGTTGGTCTTTTTTGATTGGTTATAATTGTGGATTTTATAGGATTGTACTTTATACCAACACAACTTTAATGATGCCAATAGGCCTGCCAGCAAAGCTAACCCCCAAAGTGTTTGTTTCAACAACAAAGGTGAAGTTCTCTTCGCCCAAAAAGTTCCTATAGTTGTCACTAGTACTGTTACCTCGAATCCCATAACCAAAGCCACCAGTATGATGAGGAAAATATCAAATACCCAATCGTTTGATACTTTTCATCAAGCATCAAGTACTTTGCAAGAATTCACTGGTATAAATAAAGGTAGTACGCAACCGCATGATGCCGATAGCGAATTGTTTGTCAATTTGGCGAAGAAATACGTCTTGCAAGGCAGGAGTGTGTCTGAAGTATGCGATCATAATGCGGCTGTGGCACGGGAATATGGAAAATCATACGTAAGTAATTTTATAGGAGTATATTTTATTAGGATGAAGGCATCCACTGACATACAACCCATATTTTTTAAAGATGTATGTAATATGGAAGATAATAAAAACCATGTATGGAGAGGAATTCATACAAAATTCAAACTTCACCGACTGCTACGAACCTGACTTCAAAGAAGAAGACGAAGAGTCTCCCGAGGAGGACAATAGAAACGATAAAAACAAACCGCAAACGCCAATATTGGAACTGGAAGAAGAATACGACCAACTTTCGTTGTGTGGCGATACGCCACTGGCCCAGTTCAGTGGCGGCGATGAAAGCGGCGAAACCGAGAACGAAGACCAGGTGGACCACATAGGGATCTACAATTATATCAATTTTAGGTCCTGCTTGCCCAAGGGAGACTTTTCCTTTGGCGAAAATGAGCTCGATATGGAAATCGACGGCATCAGCACAGGTTGGTTTAAATTATTTTTTTTGCAGTGAAAGCACAATTGAAGACTTTGATGCACTTTCAGGGCTCTCACAACTCCTAAAACTCATAAAATTCTTAAAATTTGGCTTAAATCTTGAAAACTCTAAAATTGCCATCAATCTCCTAAAACTCCTAAAAATTAAATATAATGACTGCGTTTAAATAAATTAGTTATCATGCTAAAAAATTTCTTTTATAAAAAGTAATTTAAAAAATATATATTTTAGGTTCTAGTTTATTAAATTCTTTTTAAAATTATATATCACAACCTACATTTTTCTTAAAAAAACAACAAAATAAATCTAAAAACAAAATCCATTTGTAGCTCCTAGACTTCTACAAAATTGTCATTTTTAGCCATATTTCGTTTGTTTTCAACAAAAATATACCAAACAAA